GTTACATGATTTGTGTTTGACAAGGGAGGAATGAGAGGTTGTGCGTATGGGTACGGGGGTACTCCCTGTGTCCGTGTTGTTCCCAGATGTTGCCGCATCAAGTGGCAGCATGTGTCATGGACAGGTAGACGTGGAAGGACGGCGACAGGTGAACGGCAGCAGTAGAATGTTGTGCATGGTGGCATGTTGGGCTTGTGCAGAGGCGCAGTCCATCTTCGACCACACACAAAAAAGTTTGCTCGTACCTGTGGGGATTTTTCGAAGTCCTGGGTCAGCCAAGAGCAGCAGCAAGGAGCAAACGCAGTGCAGCTTTCTTTCTATCATTTTGTGTCTCTTCCGAGTGGTTTTTGTACCCTATTTTTTTCTGTTTCTTCGTGGGGTCTTGTATGCCGGGTTTTGAGACCACGGGCTCCCAATTTTTTTTTTTTAGAGCTAATGTGAGAAACAACAACAACAACAACAAGTCCAGAAAGCCGATGGAGAAAAACAGCACTATCTCAGACACCCCGCCCCCCGAACCCAAGCGTGTTCTTCTGAACACGTGGTGTTTCGTGCGAATGACCCAACAATATCCGGTGTTCAACATACCATACACGGATACGACAAGTCTCTCGCAAGAAAAAATTACAACACAGATATACACAGGGAACCCTTGATCGGCATTGAAGGCTATTTACAGCAGCTCAATCGGGCTCGTAGATAGCACCAACACATTCCGTGAAAGCATCAGACGCTCAACCGGCAGTCACAAATTCACAGTGAAATGAGACCAGAGCGTGACACTACGGAGAAATCGGCCTGCCGTCACTAGCACACCTGTTGACCCCCATCTTGAAACAGGAAAGAGACAAAAGCTACCTCCTTCCGGCAGGAGTAGCTCCTTGGGGTTGGACAGCTAGTCGCTGTCGGCATCGCCTATAGAAATATCTAAAAATACCAGAAAAATACGACCGTAAAAATGCGCCAGTCAGTCAACTACCCCGCTCAGTGTAAACTCATACTTGTCAAAAAAACAACGGCGTGTCGACTATTCACACGCGAGCATGCAACCACACAACTTGTACACACGTATACAACACACCATAGAAACGGTCGACCTACTGGCTTCGTGCTACTAATAGTTGTCCCGTAGCCCAGAGTGAACCGCGGCTTCCGCGCACTCGGCCCAAGCCTTCAGGCCGTCGCTGGTGAGGTGGAGATTGTCCGGCATGATGAACTCCTTGTTGAGCACCTCGCGACCGGAGTCGTCTTCCACCACAAACCTACAGCTCGGTCCGGCCACACACACGGTTCGTTCGTTCGTTCGTGGAGCGGTGTGCCGTGACAGCGGGATTGACGAGGGCGGGGTTGTGGTGCGAATCGCGGAATGGAAAATGGTACCTGCCACCCGTCACAAGTCGAGTCACCGCCGGTACAGGCCTCGGCCGAACGATGGACGGAACCGCACAAACCCGAGAGTAATCCCCATCGATCCCGGGTTGCTCTTGACGCCTCTACTCTGGCGAAAGGCGACATTCGTCGCTTATCAGATTTGTTGGGTACAGCGCCTGGGACACCGCAGCAATTGCCGCGCCGGCCGCCAGGCTAGACAGCCACTCAGCCGCAGCAGGCGCCAATACAAAACGACCAGCACCAGTACTTGCAAGGGGGGAAGGGGCGCAGGCAACGCACCAGCAGGTGTACAAGTAGATATATACCACGTTTTACCTGTCACTGCAGCTCACGAAGAGAACCTTCTTCGTGCCGAACTTGAGCCTCAGCATGCGCTCCAGCATCCCGTTAACCTTTTCAAGCGGCGTTCGTTCGCGTCACAAGCAAAGCACATCAACGTCGAAAAAGATCCTGGGGTTAGACACCCTGCTCCACTGCTCGCGAACAGAGCCCTACGGCTCGAACGCACGCGAGACGGACGAAAGTTTCGCTCTTGAGGCTGGAGGCGGCAAGACGGATCTATTGGCTGTGACCTCAGTCGTGGCGATTCATCCATTCGTCTACTCGGACGCGCATGAACGCTTCGGGCTAATGTCGTGACGAACTACGACCGCACGACAACATCTGCGTGGTCGTCGGTGTGTTGGCTAAGCTAAGCCACGTTGCCAAGAGGGATTACTGCTTCAGCGAAAGGCGCCAGCTGCTCCCCCGGATCCTCCTCATTGAGCACAACGTGCAGTCTCACCCGGCATGCTTGGCTTCGCTTTTTATCTACCCGACAGTCTTGTCGTCCGCGAGGGCCGACAACCAACACTATCCAAACCAACGACAGGGGGAACAACTAGCCTGTCGTGGAAAACTGCCGACAATCGTCGTCGCAATACTTTACGGACATGTAGAGGCATGCCCGCTACGAGAAAAAATGTGCGAAGAAGGATGGTTGAAAAACAAATGAAGATACACACCCGACCAGCCACGAATCCTCTGAGCAACCGCTATTTCAGTGTGAGTGCAAATTCACGAGGTTGGTCTACAGGGGGTGTCACTCCTGTTGCTCAAAGCACCGTTGGTCGGGTAGCCTCAATCGGCCAGGAGGAAGAAAGGCTGAATAGACTGTGGGAAGGCGTCAACGATTATACCATAGCTCCCCACTGCCGCTGTCCAGTGCAAAGGGGGTAGGAGGATGGGCCGTACCTCATCGATCACCGGCCACGGGGTTGTGCTCTTCTTGTGCTTCGGGTCAGCTCTCGGGAACAGAGCCATCACGGACACCATCGCTTCGGGTCTCTGCTCTCGCACGTACTGAGGAGAGTGCGAGAGGCAGCCATCCGGTCACAAAAGAAACAATTTTTCACGCGTTTCACCATCGAACTTGGGGGTGTTGTTGTCTTCACATCAAAAACCGTTACGGTCTACGCTCTGTGCCCTCTAGTACCCGAACTGGTCCAAGTGACGCAGACACGGTGTCTAGGAAAAGATATGACCATCCCGCGACGTGAAGAGGGACGTCGAAAAGGGTGACTGTCGGTGGCGGCGACAAATTGATCGACGGTGCCGTCCACGGAACAGGTTCAACTCTCACGGGTAAGCACGCACAGAGAGCGTCGCGCACAGCCCCCTCTGGTCGTTCGCGCGAAGCTTGAACAAACCGGTGCAAAACACAAAAAAGCCAGAGAGAATGAGGAATCTTGCAAAGGCAGATTCACATCGGGGATGCGTGCGCATGCAGACGCGACTAACGCTAAACCCCCGCCGAAAAGGGATGGGCGGCATCTTGACCCCCGGCCCATGCCCGTGATGTGGAATTCTCTGCGTGTCACCTACACACATGGGGTACAGGTTTGAGTGCGCATGTGCTCCGCTGAGTGCGCATGTGCTCCGCTGGCAGCCAATTGTGTTTTCCCTTGTCGTTACCTGGACGACGGCCTTGACTCCTCCGACGGTGTCTTGCGCATCCATGCCGGCCCCGAGATTGTTCGTCCCGATGGCCACAAGGATCGACTTCACGTGTCCGCCAGAATTACACAAGAGACAAACGACAGAAGACGGATAACATTGCAACCACGGCAGGGCAGGGGAAAGTGTCAAGGAGGGAGAGGTGCATGCACGCACAACCGTGTTGCACGGCGACGGAGACCTCCACAACGGAGGGCCATCAGCAGTCTCGCCGGAACCGAGGGGTGCCCCGGTACAGGCCGCCTGCTGTCTGCCTACCAACGACAAACATTAAAACGCTGTGAACAGTGCAAGCCACGCCGCTTGAAAGCCGACCAACAACCTCGACTTGCAACCCTTGGCTTCAACCTCCCAAGGAACCAGCTCAGACGCAACATTAGAGGTAAGGAGAAGAAAACAGACCCGAGAGCCTGGACACATCGGCGATTACTCGCGTTCCTCGAACGGTTTCTCGGGAGTACCGTGAACCTCTTTTTATCGTGGGTAAAACCAACATATCTGGATGCTCCTCCCGCCAGGCACATGGCACAAAACGAAATAACTGCGAGACCGAGCCCTCTGTACAGTTGACGAAGAGCCGTGTTGCAAGAAACCCATGCTGGGAAACCGGGGCTAGAGGCTCTGCAGAAAAGGCGAGCGAAGAGTAGCCCCACGTTCGAAGGTCTGTGACCGCAACACTGCCGGAAAAGCTTGCTGTATTCCACAAACCATACTCCGCACCAGAATACGAAAATGTGTAGTCTCCTCCGACGCAGCTTGGCTTGCACGAGCCACGTGAGGGCAACAACATACCCCTATCGACACGTACGAACGGCCTCATCGGTGGTGTTGTGATATTCGCTGATAACCGAAACGCTTCTGGTCTCCATTCTGCTGTATTCGGTAGGCACCTCCGTAACGAGGCTCCCGTCTCTGGCCTCCAACAAGTCGACAAGCCTTGTGGCGGGTACACCGGCAAACAACCAAAACTCGATCTACCCCTTCGGACGAACAACGCCGAAGACAAACCAAAGTACGATTCGAGGCAACGAGCCGTGAGGAAGACGACAGGCGCAGCAATGGCTGCCGCACATGCGCATGGGGCCAAAGAATGACTAGTCGGGAGCGCGAAAACCATGGCATGTGGGAAGGGGTACCTCGGGTTGCAGCACGTCGGGCAGCTCGCCGTTCTGCAACCGCCAGAGAAGGTGTTGCGTCTCATCTCCAGCCACGCCGAGGTTGATCGCTCCCAGATACGCGTAGTAGTGCTGGGATCGAGGGGAAGAAAGCACAAAGAAATTGTGCACCAAAGCACGCAGACACAAGACCATGCGCGGCGATGGAAACGGAGTTCGGAACATTGTAGAAGAGCATTTCATGTTCTTTGGTTTCACCGTCATGATTGATGCAAATTCAACGAAGTCGGAGAGAAAGCGACCCCTGCTGCGACACTCACCAACCACACGGCGAGCGAACCCCAGCCGGATTTGGTCTTGCCGCCCACTCTGCCGAGAAGCTCCTTAAAAAAATACACCCGGGACAATTACATTCAAGAGGAGCAGAACGGCGGTAAGGGTGAGACGCAGAGAGGATGGGCGAGGGAGGGTGAGGGCACGTAAGATCGAGACAGGGAGAGAAGGAAAAAAAGGCGGGAGAGAGCGAAAAAGGCGACAAAGGCGAGAGGGAGAGAGAAAGGGAGAGTGACGGCACAGAACGCGTTGTGAGGTGGCAGCGAAATCGTCCGAAAACAAGTCAACCACGATCAAGAAACCAAGCCGACGATGTCAGGGAATGTGATTCTTCGCACCGAACCGACAACGTGGACAGTTAGTCCCTACGGAAAGGCGGAGCGGCACCGCGGGGGGAAGGGGGGGGGAGGGAGGGTGTACTCATAGTCGTACATGCCGTAGTGGGTAGACCATTGACCTCGCATCCCTACTAAGCCGGAACGGAGCACGCCGGGTTCTCACCGGACCAGGCTCTCACACAACCAAGTGTGAAGCGCCGTGTGGTATTCGGCGAGTCGCATGAAGGGTGCGCTGCATCCTGCTAAGGGTTTTCGGCATCTTGCGCTTACTTCCTTGCGTACGGATGACAGCTGCGTATGACTTAATATATTTGCTGGCACTTCACTTCCAGAGACAGTTAGGGGTGTCAAAGCGGCGGAATTTGGNTTCGGCATCTTGTGCTTACTTCCTTGCGTACGGATGACAGCTGCGTATGACTTAATATATTTGCTGGCACTTCACTTCCAGAGACAGTTAGGGGTGTCAAAGCGGCGGAATTTGGGGCCAAAAAAACGTCCGGTCCATTCGGCAAAATTTGAGGGGGGCACGCGGATTTGGTTCTTTTTTGGTTCTTGAGAATCCCGCTGTTAATACTNGCCGCCGCCGCCGCCGCCGCCGCTGCTGCTGCTGTTTTTTCAGCAGCAGCAGCGGCGGCGGCAGGTGTCTGCGTGGCTTCACCGCCCGGCTGCTGCCCGGGTGTGTCATGAGGCATGTGTTCTAGAGTGGGACCGCGCAATGGTGTTGTGCTGTGCCACATAGCAGGGCGCAAAGCACACAGGCGAGCCGCGCCCTCGCGCGTGTGCGTCAGAGGGTCTTTTCGGGAGGTTCCGACGGTTTCGTGCAATTTCATTGGTTGGTCGATTTTCCATCAGCAAGATCCGAGGACGCTTTTTCGAATTTTTTCCTATAGGAAATTTTCCGCTTTGACACCCCTAACAGTTGCTAGCACTGTTGACCATTTCAACACAACGTGGTGCGATCATCCCCCTTGCACGGAGTGAGGGTTCTCCACCCCGCACAACATGATCTGACCACCATTCATGGTTACCGTCAAAAAAAAAGAGGAAAAAAAAAAAACGGTAACCTGGTTGCCGAGTTCACGAAGTGAAATGGCTTGTTGTACAACGTCGTTGCCAAGCGACGAAAAACCAATCCCGATGGCAAACACCGAGGGGGGGGCATGTTACACAACGTCGTTGCCAAGCGACGAAAACCCAACCCCGATGGCAACACCGGGGGGGGGGCGGGGGCGAGAAAACCACATCATGTGGCAGAGTACTTGGCGTTACACTGCAGGAAATTCCGCCGGACCCACCTCGGTGATGGAATCCCCCAGCACCAGCACACGGGTCGTCGCCCCTTCCCTCTCGGCTTCCGCCTGACAGGCCGATTCCGTTGAGTGCATCAATCACATACAGATTTCGATGCAGATTGATGGTGTATGCATAGGTACAACAACACTGAGAGGGACCTCTGAGTCGCGGTTGCTGATTTGCGCGCCGTACGCATAAACCCATCAAAAAAGGTCAAATCGACGCGAAACCCATCACCAGCCCCTCCCCAACACAAATCACAAGCAACAACAGAGGTAAGACCAATACCATCAACCAAGCCCACATGCCCCAGCGAAAAAAAGAAAAACACGCGACACAAGCGTGAGGGAATCGCTCACCACAAGCGCGGCATGATGCTTCATCCAACCCGGCCGCATTTCACGACCCACGGGTACCGCAGCTCGGTTCACCCTGACAATCGTGCAGGGAAATTCGAAGATTTCAGGCGGGGGAGGGTCAACAACTCCTGCGTTATTTCAAAGGCAAGCTTCCGGCAGCAACCCCATTGCGAAATCGGGTCCCAACAGCCGCAGTACAGCAGCATCATCCACACCAAAACAGACCCCATCACATTTTGCGTAGATGATTCTCTGCCTTCGCGGTCGCGGTGGGATTGGACTGCGGCCAGTCTTTCGTGCTACTCGAGGCCCGTTCGCTGGCCCCCGTGTGTGCACACGAGTGAGCACCTAGACTTGATGAACAACGAAGTGTGCAGGGTTTTCAAGCAAAATCCTTCCACCGCATGCCTCAAGACAATCGTGCCATCTGACAAACCGCTCTTCACGTATGCGAACAGTCCCCACATGGTGATGTATGCGAACAGTTCCCATGACGCAAGGGCGCCGTGGGCGACAAACCACGCCCATGCACCTCCCTACAAAAAAAACTAATTTGCGATGTATCGGGGTAGACGATACAGAGCCGATCGGTCGGTGGTGTAGAACACGAGCCGCTACCCCTGCGGAATGTGTAGATGGGTCAGCGCCATTGGTGGTGACAGCGGCGGCCATATGCTCACGGTACTCCGGTCATGCTTCACGCGACGTCAAACTCACAAGATCTACAAGGGAGGAGGTCGAGGAATCATTCAACTCCTTTCTGCCGCAAGCAAGACCTACGCCTCCCTGCTCAAAAACACATTCAAGGATCCTTTGTTTTGATCGTTCGAAGAACGCCTCGCCACTCGTATTCCAAAATAGCAGGCCCCACAACTTAACGCGTTTTCAGACTGCCGGCTGGCGATGCCAGGAGTCAGGAAAAAAAAAAAAATCGAGTGGGTCCAGACTAGTATGCATATGAATGAAACTCGGCGTTGCTAGTACGGCAGAGCGGCGACTTACCCTTCCGGCAAGTCGAGTTCGTAGTCGCAGTTCACGTACCCCGCGCCACACCTCCCAAAAAATGTGTACCCGATAAACCTGCGGGGTGGTGGGGCAAACAATTTTCGCGTCAGATACATAGAATACCAGGAGACAACATCGTTAGGACAACAGTTCCCAAGGTCCTGCAGACGCTTCAAGCTATCGGTAAGTTGTAACAATAACTACCTCCAAAAACAGGCACACGGCAGTGCTGATCGCTGGTCGCCAGCTGTGAAACTGTTCCGAGATTACCCCTGCCTGTCGACAGTTCCGAAACCACGCACGCAGGACACGGGCCGAATCGGTCCCACTGACACTACCAGGAAAGGATACCGAAACTAGTAAAAAATCGGCACTGCGGCGAATTTCATGGACATGCAACGACAACAGGTTGAATAAGTAAAGCGTATACTATCCCGCATCGTCCCCTTATCTTCAAAACAACCCAAAACCTATTTCGAAGGAGGGATCCGGTGNTTCGCGCTTGGTGATGTGAGAGCCTGGTCCGGTGAGAACCCGGCGTGCTCCGTCCCGGCTTTGTAGGGATGCGAGGTCAACGGTCTAACGACTACGGCATGCACGACTATGAGTACACCCCCCCCGCGCTCGGCATTCCAAATGCATGGTACATGTAGAAACGGGAATATCGTTGCACAAGCACCATCTGATCTACTTAACAGTCTTAGAAAAAAAAAAATATGCCTGCTACCATACACGAAATGAAACCAAAGCCGCGTACCTATGAGGCATCTAACGGGGGGCTACGCGGAATATGCATATACCTCACCCCAGCGCGAGAACCCCAAGGGCGGAAAGCCACGTGGTCGTGCTGGAGCACCGGCTGGTTCGTTGCTTCGTTGTCGCGGCAGCCGTTGTCTTGATCGATGTCGCCTGCATTCTTCGCGAGGGGGCCTCGAGGTCACTCGAGGGGGCACCCTCGGCCAAGAGCCGGCGAGAAGCCTCGCCGCCGTGCAACTCGTCTCCGTTCCTGCTCTCGACCCCCATCACCATAAAAAAAAATCCCGAGGGTTTTGCCAGCGGTGACACATGCAGCAAGTTTTGGTCAGCCACTGCTGTAGATAAGACGTTCGCGCCAAACGTCAGCTCTTGGTGCTTTCGATAGCTTGCCCCCCTCCTTGGCCCCATCGTAGAGATGGCTGTGTTAACGTTATATGTTTTGGGTATTTTGAAAAATTTGCAGTTTGGGGACGCAATTTCATGTCGTGCATTGACGTCCGTAACATGAGGGCTCTTCATGTTGTTCCACAAGCCGAAACAGCAATAGTATCTGGCAGCCGGGCGTGTGGAGCTATCGGGCGCGTGTGTGTAGCTCAGGCCTCCACCGCAGCCGCACACTGATCACCCAAACACGAGATTTCTAACGGCGATATGGGATACCGGCAAACAACTACTGCTGTAGGCTCGTCTTCAAGCCCTTCGCCAGTGGAACAGGCCTTCCGAAGAAGCACCGCTGTAGTGTTACACGCTCACACCGAGACTTGGGGCCTGAGGTAAAGAAATATTTCGTTAAGTTCGGTCTTTCACGCGAAAAATGTGAAAAATGGGTCTTGAAAGACACACACTTTCTTGAGGCTGCGACAGGTTCCTCACAAATAATGCAGTGCAAAAGCGAAAGCGAACAATGTCGCTTAGCAAAACAATACGAAACAACTACTTCTGTACAAGGTACAGGGAGGGATTTTCTCAACAGCAGATTTGTAAGGTGGGGGGCAAAAAACGTCTTCATTAACAAGATTTTGTGGACCGTAGATCGAACATTCAACAACCTCTGGTACATCGAAGCACGCCCCGTGAATCAGACTTGCTTGACTTGCTTTCAACGCGTGTGTTGCGGGAAAATGACAAAAAAAATGATGTTGACCAACTTTGAAAAACAACGCAAGAGCACCATGGAGCACCTCCGTTCATGGGTTCACGGTCCGTTGGCGGCGAGTACGGCTGTGACAAATTTTGGATTCCGCTTGGTTTAGGCCGGTGATAGATTTCGGACTGTTTTCAGAGGCTGCTGCGACCTTCGACATTTCAGCTCCAGTAGCAAACCTGAACGTGCCAGCACGCACTGTGCCTCTTCACGGTGTCCTCTACTGATGACAGTAGGACGCACCAGGTTCCTCCGGGGGGAAGGTTGATTTTTTCTTTGCATTGGACTAATGTATCAACATAGTGCCAGCGTCAACACCGGTTCTTCAACCCCTTACATGGGCATACACTCGTCGCATGTACGTGGAGGACGACGGCGACGGGTCAAAGTACCCAGAAGATCGGGCACTTTGGACAGAAAGCAGTTAGTTCACAACTAGCAGTAAAACCTCTCATAGATTCGTTTTCTGGTTGCCTGGTGCTGCTGCTGCTGTCAAGGCATGAGAGGCCACTCAATACACCGCACCGGTAGGCTCTGGCACTGCTGTTGACCAGGGTTGCTTGTGGCGTGCTGTGGTTGCCGGAAAAAAGAGTGCTACTAAAGGCCTTGTTTATGGTTTCCAAATCTTTATCTTGCTTTCTTTCGACAAACGTTGACTTTTTCGACCTTTTGGGCAGTCTGCCTCCCGGACGAGTTCGAATCAGCTGTTCGACCTTTGAGAACAGTCACAGCTTTGGCTGAGATGTCTACAGATCGCCTACATGTTTCGCCAGGTTTCACGTTCGATGTTTTTCCAGCAGAGCAAGATGTTGAAGATTCGGCCGAAAGGCCACCTCGGAGCAAATCTTGGGCCAAGATCTGTCCAAAAGCTGGTGTTGGAAAAATCTTGCGTGAACATTGCGCACCTTGAAAAAATCAAACGTGGACCCTTGCGAAACATGTAGGCGATCTGTAGACATCTCAGCCAAGCTGTGACAGTTCTCAAAGGTCGAACAGCTGATTCGAACTCGTTCGGGAGGCAGACTGCCCAAAAGGTCGAAAAAGTCAACATTTGTCGAAAGAAAGCAAGATAAAGACTTGGAAACCATAAACAAGGGCCTAATGCGATACTTCCAAAAAAACAAGATATAAAGCAAGGGGTAGCCGTTGGGGCGTGGGTGGTGCTAGATTCGGACCAAGAGAAGGAAATCAGGACGGCGACAACCCCCGATCAATGCCTACACCGAGCTGTCGGGTCAACGGCGCAAATAGTCTATGCGCTTCGTGCTGCAGGTGATGAGAAACCTGTCAACAGGTTGAATTGGTATGATTGGTATGAACACCAATGCCGTGATGCTTCACTGGGCACAGCAGTAGCAAGCAGAGTTTCCTTCGGGTTGGTAACTGAGGGAGCTCGCGTAAAAGGTGGTCAACGCCTTGTCTCGCGGGGTGCTGCCCCCGGCATCCTGTGCTGTGGGTTGGATTGTTCTGCCTTTTGGTTTCAATTTCGGAAATAGAGCAGGCAGGATTTCCACATCATGCAGCCGGTTTCTGTCGAAGGAGCGCACCCGTCGGCCTGCCAGCAGAGATACCTCAACGAAACAGAAACGCAGCGATGCGGGACGAGTACCGGGAGGGCTGTACACTCACCACCGCTACCCACGCATAACGTCGCAATACTGACGCATCGACAACAAGCTAAGGTTCAAGGAGGGTCGGAAACCAACATCAAGTTAGCGGCGGGGAAAGACGCGGCGAATTAAACTAATTCAGCCCGCGTGCACCTTTCGTCGGCAGATCTGTCCCACTGCCTGCTGTGTCCGTAGGTTCAAGTGTGGCACTTACCGAGAAGTGGACGCTGTAGTCGCCATGGTAGCAGTGTATTCGGTCAGAGGCGACTCAACAAACGCTTCCCGGGTATCACGTGTGTATCTTGCCCTTTTTTTCCGTCGCTGTTTTCTCTGCCTCTCCGAACCGCGGTTATATTGGATGGTATGTAGTGGAAGAGCCAGAAAAGAGCGTGACAGCCTGGTGACAGGAAGGGGACATGGGACATGATGGGGTAGTTGCCGAACCGGCACGTGATCATCCGCGTGTTTGCACAACTTGCTAAGTACTAGAGCACGCTAGGCACACACACGAGGGGGGAGGGGGGAGGACAAGCACCACCTTGAGTGATGTGCTTGGTTGTCCACGGGTACAAGTCCTCCCTTCTTCAGCAGAAAGACACACGCCCGTTCTTGCACGCAACGTCTTGTATTCGAACTCTCCCTCACCACACAGGAGAGGGACTTCGGGCAAGATGCCATGAGAATGGCCGGCAGGTGCCTATTGCAGGCTCGAGCACGCCGACGCAGATCGTTGACTCCCCGCCGTCAGCAACATTAGCAACCGCCGTCCGCAGTGCCAGCACCTCAAGACATCCTGCAACAATACTGCAGAGGTGATGCGGTCCAAAATGTCAGCACACATCCGCACTTGTGGCATCTGTAGGTCCCGTTCACGGTCCACTGCGGTATTTTTTTTTTTTCTCCGTGGCGCACGGACGTGTGTTCGGCACGGTTGTTTTTGGGTGTCTTATTATTGACTCTCGGCAATCTTGCAATCAGCTCTGTACGGCGAGACTGAGGGCAAAGCTTTATGAGTGATTCATGTGCGAGGCTTAACGGAGCCAAGCTTCCGGACGGATCCAACTGCAACCAAGCGTTACAAACAGTCACACATCAGTCCGTGGTCTGCGATTCTCCTACTACACAACCATCTGATTGGTTGCCTT